TCTTGTCTTCCGTTATCTGCATTGCCATGCACCACATCCTCTCTTGTCTTCCGGTATCTGCATTGCCATGCACCACATCCTCTCTTGTCTTCCGGTATCTGCATTGCCATGTACTCTGTAAGTCAGCTTGGTTAGGAATGTAGGTTCCATCCATCAATTCCCCTGTACTTCCTGCAATTTGTGTCGAAAATATCTCAGGGTTATAACTCCATCAATGACATAGTAATAGGGGTCATGGTGAGTCACTTTTAGTGAGGTGCCATTCTCTGAACGTTTCCTCCAAGAGGGGGTTGCTAGTGCGCAAGCCATGGTGGCTTCTGAGCATCAGTTTTGCAGCGAATTTCGAAAAAGGCGTATAACATATTAAATTAAAAAATCACATTTTACTGATCCAGTGAAGCGTTTATACTGAGAGAAAAACACTGTGTGGTTGTTGACAGTGTGCGGAGTTCAACAACTGTACTCAAGTACATGCCACAGATAGCGTAAAGTTATGCTACTCTTATCTCCAGCTAGAAAGAATTATGTTTACATTTCTGGTTTTCTGGCCTATGGTGGCACTCTGTAGTCTATAAGCGGATGCCGACTTTGCTGAAGAACATGCGAACTCCATGTTTTAGATCCAGACTGCGTGAAATTTAGTCTCGACTGCCCTCATAATTCATGCTGCTTTGCTTAAACAGAAGTAAAAATTACGTTTTCAATAATTAAGCAGTGTGAAAGTTCAATTTTATGTGTATCTTGTTCCCTTATTCACACATTAATACAATGTAGCAGTGCTCTTCACACAAAGTACTTTCATTTTTATTTATATAGATTATTGATATGTGATATTCTCTGGTTACAACATTACTAAAATTTGGTTGAACTTTTTAATTATAAAAGGGAAATTTCTTTTATTTTTCGCACAAATTTGCATCAGCATGGTCGAAGCTCGAACCTGTGATATGTGAGGTATGTGAACGTTTGTGTCACTTAGGGATTTTATATATGGTATATTAGTAATTCTCGAAGTACATATAACTTTTCTGGTACAATTGTTTGGTAGAGTATAAAGTAACATGGATGTGTATAAATATTTTCTTTAGCTTTGAGTTTTAAGGCGATAACTAATAATCCATTGGATGCTTTTCTCTGGATACAAGGCTCTTGCATCATACAGCAATTTACCCCACCTTTTTCCAGGTCCTTCTCTAACGGCAGTAAGAGGATGGCATAGAAATTCTTGAGTAGCTGCAGAATTTGCGGCTCCTCCAGAAGGGCTCAGCTCCATGAGTAAGTAAGTAAGTAAGTAAGTAAGAGGATGGCAGGGTGAATAACGAATGCTGCGGAACTGGAATGACAATTGAAAAATGGAAACGGAAGTGCTAGAATACCGCACAGCGTCACTTTTTTTTTCCCCTTGGCACTACAGCCCCAGTGGGCCTAGGCCTACCTCCATGAACTTCTCCGTTCACTTCGGGTTTTCTAGATCTTTGGGCGGGTGATCAGCTCGTCTCAAGGACAGCGTCACTTTGGCCATCGAAAATTCCACATGACCCCACCTGGGATGGAATTTGTGCCACGTGACACGACGTCATACCCCAGAAGACAGTTGGCTGAAATCCCATAGTTACTGTCGTTATTCACGTTGTGGTGCTTAATTAGTTAATTGCGGGGCCCCACTAACTTCTTTGCTACCTCTAGGCACTGAAGGGGTGACACGACTTGAGACGGGTCAGGAACTGGCATGATTTTAAACAGGTATATGAGGATTCCAGATACGACTTAACCTGCAAAATAAAATCTAATTCTTGATGTTAATACAATGTTCGTTACACAATTTATTCTTCACATTTTCATATATCTGTCTTGGCTAACACATTTCATTGCATTTTTGACAGGCTGCTTATCACTGATATGAGTATAAACCCTAGCGGAGTGGGTAAAACTCCGGAGCTCCTAGCGCAGACCGTGCCGGCCACAGCTCTATCTACGGGAGCAGACAGAATCCGGAAGTTGACGTCAGAATGGTTGAGGCTCTTGTACATGAAGAGTGGCATGCGGTCAGTGAGAAGCCACAAGTTCCTGTTAATGTCCACCTTGATATCATTTGGGAAAACCATAGTAATGTTGTTGACGGCAACCTGCCCTTGAGTCACGGGTGTGTACTCAAGCGCGGAATTCCAGCAGCCCACGGAGTTCCGGGTCACCTGCAACAGTGATTCAAGTACAACACTCAAGCCCCAACATTTTATGGAACCCGATGGTTTATTACCGTGTTCACAAGAGCCCACTCCTGGTCTCCATCCTGAGCCAGATCAACAGGGGAGGGGAGAGAGAAGGCTATTTGAAGAAACTGATGTTGTTTAGGGGGCGCCACTGCAAAAATCATGTACACAAATCAAGTGTTTATAGACCAGCTTACGGAAAGCTAGCTGGGTCGTAGAACATGTGACNTACTTTTTCTTCTACCCTGAAGATGGAGGCGATACGTTCCTCCGAAACGTCGGTTAACACCACATATACACGGTGCCAAATCCCAGAAGACTGCTTTCTTCATGTGACGTAAGGTTTAACGAATACACATAAAGCTCAATAAGAACGAGCAGTCTGAGGCAATTTAATCAAAATTTGTATTGTTTCACGTCCTGTAGTACAGTCACGGTTAGTTTATTCGTGTGATTAATTTAGATGAACGCAGCGCGAAACAGATGTATGTGAACAATCCGAAAGCGTAAGCAGAAATTTCTGGCCTAGACGCGCCCTGCACTCACGGGCTGAAAAGTGAAAATTTCTTGATCATTCCTCGCGGAAAGCCACATGACCTTCCGTGTTCCAACTGGGGCAACTACGTCATTGTCACTCGAGGTTAGCTCCCGTAAACTGGAAAAAGCATTGAACCGAGCACGCGTGTCTAACGTTACGTTTTGGGGGGGGAGAAGCTTTGCCGATTTCCAAAAAAAGAAAAATGACTGACCATTAATTTCAAAACTCCAGATTTTTTCGCAGCCGAAATGACCGTATTACCTTACAAGACAACGGAACACGATACTATTTCTTTTATTGCTAGTGGGGTGGGACTTCTAACCGTCTAGTGCGTTAAGGCCCCTTTCGTTGGGCGTCACTCCTTCTTACCGTCCTTCTCCGGCAGTCCTCTGAAGAGCCCTTGGGTTGCTGGTTGCATCTGCTCCTCTAGCCGTTCCCTCTCACCTGTGGTTACTTCGAGTTGGCAGGTTGCTGCTGCGTCCTTCCTATCCAGTTCTGTTTCCCTTTTTGTTGTTCTGGTGGATAATAGTTTGCGGGGTATGGGTTATCGGAGTGCTTGGCGCCAGTAAGCTTACTGTAACGGCTTACATTTCGGGGAAAAGGGGGGATGAACTGGAAACTACAGGTGCCAGGTACCGCGTTCTCACTGGAGCGATGAGATTCGGTCTCAGGGCGAATACGGGCCTCGCGTCAGCGGGAAAGAGAAGAGTGTTTTAGGTAGGCACTAACACACACTGTTTAATTAGCCAATCTTGCTACACACGTA